ATTTTATTTATTGAATTGTCTATTTTCGTTGTTGTTTATGTTAAAATTTTTCATTTTTGTGTTGATAAGCCTGGGTGGTCTGTTGACTGACTGTATTTGTTCAAATAATAGTTATGGGCAGGTTACAATATAAAAAATATTTGTCATAATCATGTCTTGTGATTATTTGACAGGAGTTTTACTTTTGAACTGTAAGTGTATTTTATTTAGTTATAATGCAAATGCAATAGAAATTAAACCAAGATTTGGAATAATTATCATTTTGATCTGTATGGTAATGTGTGACTGGGCCTCGTGTCACTTTATGTTGAACAAATTGGGCCCCGAGGTCAAAAAGGTTAAGAACTCCTGTCCTACAGTGTTGTTTGGTAACAACACTCGAAGTTTAGCTCAGGTGTCTCATGATCTCTGCTGTGATGCTTCTACACACTGACTGGCGTTCACTTGTGGTAAATTCAGCTGATATAACCTAGATTTGTAAACATACTTCTATTGAAGAACTGCTAGGTGACAATGAGAACCAAACCAATCCATGACGTTAACAGGGCCGCCCACAGAACTCAGACATGTTCGTTACCATGTGCCGATCTGGAGAAAACTCCAAAAAACATCTCTGCTGCAGATTCCAGTTTCTATCTTTCCACCTCCTCCTGCRCTCCCAGCGTTTCTTTAGCATTAACTCAAAGACGTCACTGTTTAGGTTACTCCCGTGCTGAGGGGCTGTGTAAAGAGTACCGTGAGACCAAAGGCCCGGGTACCACAGCCAAACCGTCTGAGCAGCTGTTCTTCCTCAAACTGGGCGGCCTCATCAAAAACACGCTGGAGAAGTGTCAGAGAGAGAACGGCTTTATGTGAGTTATTCAGCACACACACACACACACACACACACACACACACACACACACACACTGGTGTAGCATATTTTAGAGCAAATGTTTATGTTTTGTAGATGAACGAGACTCATAAACTCTTGAGAACTTCAGGTTCTGTTTGTAAACTAAAAGCTCTGAATTATACTTGTTAATATTTCCAAAATGTGAACCAATGTCTTTATTACCAAAATTGATATTTTAGAAGTTTTAAGTTTTTAGTTTTTAATTCTTTTATTGGTGCACAGCCTTTTTTGCAACAGTGTTGTTTAAGTTGTATTGTGTATTCATTGTATACGATCATAAAATTGTCATTTTTGCCTAAATACAGCAGGTAAAATAAGTATTGAACACGTCACCATTTTTCTCAGTAAATATATTACTAGAGGTGCTAATGACATGAAATTTTCACCAGATGTTGGT